CTCATCCTCTCTGCCCTTCTCTTCTCTCAGCCCTGCTCCAGCTGTGTTTGGCAGCTCCCAGCAGGGCCCTGCACCCAGGCCCTTTGCAATAAACCCCAAGTTCCTGACCTGGCCCCAGAGATCTCTGCTCTCTGTCTGTCCCCACCGTCCCACCCCCGATGCTCCTACAGGAGCTGGGCGGTTCCCGGGCAGGCCGGGGGGGTTTGGCACACCCGGGGTTGGTGCCGGGGCTGACCGAGCCCTGTGCGCTCCCTCTCGGCAGAGCCAGGGAGCAGCGGGCTGTACCTGGGAGATGGAGGCTGTGACTTGCTGCAGGCTCACGGAATCACAGAATCATTGAAGTTGGAAGAGCCCTCTGAGAGCATCAAGTCCAACCATTCTCCCACCACTGTCCCCTGTCCCCAGGTGCCACATCCACACAGCTGTTAAATCCCTGCAGGGATGGGGGGTCCAGCACTGCCCTGGGCAGCTGTGCCAGGGCTGGACCACCTTTCCCATGTAGGAATTGTCCCAAAATCCACTCTGAGGCTCCCCTGGCCCAGCTGAGGCCGTTCCCTCTGCTCCTGTCCCTGTTCCCTGGAGCACAGCCCGACCCCCCCGGCTGTCCCCTCCTGTCAGGAGCTGTGCAGAGCCACAAGGGCCCCCCTGAGCCTCCTTTGCTCCAGGCTGAGCCCCTTCACAGCTTCCTCAGCCTCTCCTGGGGCTCCAGCCCCTTCCCAGCTCCGTTCCCTGCCCTGGACACGCTCCAGCCCCTCCAGGTCTCTCCTGTCAGGAGGGTCCCAGAACTGGACACAGGATCTGAGGTTTGGCCTAGCAGACAGATTAGCACCAAACTCACATATTCTGGTCTCAGTGCCCTGACAGCCCCAGGGACACTTTCCTGTGCCACATCTGCCCACAGCTGGCTGGGTCCCTCTGCACTCCTGCTCCTGCCACTCAGCTCCAGCCTGGTGCTCTCAGAGCCAACCCAGCACCTCCAGCCCTCCCATTTTCCTTGTTGGCTCCTTTAGCTCAGAGTTTACACCAACCCCACTACTCTCATCCCTTCAGCCAGCTCTGTGCTGCAGGGACTCCCTGGTTTCTCTGTGCCCTGCCTGGGCTTTCCTGACAGGCTCTGGGGGCCAGGGAAGTGCAAACTCCTTCCCAACTGTTCGGGATACAGATGCCATCATCCCACTGACAGTGGGACATGGGGATGAGGGAACAGCAGCCAAAGCTGCAGGAGGGATGTGGTCAGGGATCAGCTGGCCCTGTGGAGTCCTGCAGGGCTTGGTGTGGTGCCAGAGCTCCATGCTGCCGGCAGGGCACAATGTAAGGCTACAGCCAAAGGACTCTGGCAGGAGGGGACTTGGCACAGACATGTTTTATGGAAAATCCTTTCCTTAGGAATTTTTCTCCTGAGAAGCTGAGAGGCTTCAGGAACAAAAGGTAAACAATGATTATCTGCTGCTGTGGAATGCAACAGGTGGATCTATGATTGGTCTCATGCAGTTGTTTCTAATTAATGGCCAATCACAGTCCAGCTGTCTGGACTGTCTCGGTCAGTTACAAGTCTTTGTTATCATTATTTTTCTATTCTTAGCTAGCCTTCTGATGAAATCTTTTCTTCTATTCTTTTAGTATAGTTTTACTATAGTATATATCATAAAATAGTAAATCAAGCCTTCTGAAACATGGAGTCAGATCCTTGTCTCTTCCCTCATCCTGTGACCCCTGAGAACACCATCACAGGGACTGGCCCTGCAGTGACAGGATGGGGTGCTGCTGCCTGCAGCAAGGCTTCATTGTGTGCTCCTGCTCTGTCACCAACATTTCACAATCAGTTCAAACCATGCCCCTCCTTGGTGTCCCTTCCCTTGTCCCACACAGGGGTCGGTGGTAGCAGGAACAGGGGAATTATTTGGGCAAACCAGGCTGGGGTGGATCATGGTTTTCCCAGCAGATCGACGTGCCAGCTCCCACACTCTGAGCTGTGCTTCCCTTTGCTGCAGAGAATGGGATTCAGCACCTGGAGAGGGGTTTGGGTGCTGGCTGAGGCCATCTGGGGCCAGGGCAGTCCATGGCCATCAGGTATCTGTCACAGTCCTGCTGTTGGAACACAGTGGACTCAAACTGTGGGGGACACTGTGCCCAGGCTGTACCAGGGGCTTTGGGCTCTCCCTCTCCTGCTTGGACATGCTCCACATAATTTGGATTCTTGGGCAGCTCTGGCTCAGGCAGTGATGCAGTCTGGTGGGTTTGGGTGCAGAGAATTGTTTGAGGATGGATCTGAGGCTTTTCTACATCCTGGATGAGGTGGGATTGACGCAGGTTTGGTGATGCTTCATCCAGCTCCCAAAGTGACCCAGTTTTCCTCCTGGCTGAAGAGCTGCTGCTGGCCTGGAGCAGTGTGGAGCTGCAGGACGAGTCAGGGCTGCTCTGGACATGTGTCATCACCTCCATCTCCTCCTGCAAGTCGGCAATGTCTGTAATTACCCAGATCCAGGAGGGAGCAGCAGTGATCCACAGTCTTCCCTGCTTCAGAGGAGGTTTGGATGCGACCCACGGCTCCACCCCTTTCCTTCATCTTTCCCTGGATGACACAGGGACTTGCTGTCCCTTCAAGCAGGCTGTGCACACCAGACACAGGGGACTCTGGTGACAGTCACTGGCCAGCTGATGCCATCTCCAGGTCATGCTTGTCAGAAGTCCAAGTCTGCACTTCTTGGAGAGCAGTAGCACATTTCAAACAAAGCAATCAGATCACTCCTCAACTTTGGAAAGACATTCTTTTCATGATGGATTTCATTCCAAAATATCTGCAGTGCATGTGCAGCCTTTCAGGGGGGTCAGGGATCCCTTCTGGAGGCCTTGTCAAGAAAAGCAGCAGCTCTCCATGTCTCAAGGGCTGTTCTCTGTTATGTGATGAGCTCAATGAGGACACATCCAACTGACAGAACTCAAATCACAGTTCTGCTGTGCTCTCAATCATAGTGCAGCCAGGAAATCACAGATCTTCTGGATCCCAGTTGCTGAATTAGAGCTTTCGAAGGTGTTCCTGGGGAGGTCAGTGCTTTCCCTGGAGGCTATGGGGCAGCCTCACAGTTCCAGCTGTCCCTTCTTCCCACAGCGGGCTGGGAATGTTCCAGCTTGGGGTGGACCCAAACCCAGAGTCACTGTCACACTCAATCCCAAATTCTTGATTTGAATCAGTCCTTCGGCTGAGCCACTCAGGGCAAGAGGAAACCCACATGGAGGTCACTGCTCCAGGTAATGGGCCTGGAGGAAAATGACTTGGGGGTGCTGGAGATGGTACCAGGTATGCCCAGGTGGGCAGGAAGGCCAAGTGTCCCCTCATCCATCCTCCCGGTGGCACACCAGGAAGCCCAGTCCTGGTGGTCCCAATGCATCTCCCACCACCAGCCCCTCTTTGCTTTGTGTAGGGAAGCAGTTGGGAATGGGTGAGCAGAATTATTCCTGCACTTGGACACTCCCTGCACAGAAATAAAGGAGTTGCTCAGGCCAGGTAAGGCTGGGACCTGGAACAAGGCTGCACATGAGGGCATGGCCACCCCACCACTGTGCTGTGCCAGCTCCTGCGAGGGACAGAGATGGCTGTGGGGGTGGCCTGGAGCTCAGCATTGCCGTGTTTGCTGCTGGCAACCAAACCCTCCCCTCCCGAGGGCATCCATGGGCACAGGCTGAGGGCAGGCTGCAGGGCAGCATTCAGGGGCCATCATGTTCTTTGCAGATGTCAGTAAATCACAGGTAAGCAATTAACTCAGCCTGTACAGCATCAGCATCTTCATCAGCTGAGGTTCATTATCACTTTATGGCCCTGTAAAACCAGCCACGTTAACAGTGCGGCTCAGGGGAGCTCTCTTGTGTCCTGATGGTTCAAAACAGCCTCTTCGGAGCTCCTGGACACCCACTGGGCTGACCCGCGCCTGGCAGACGTCACCTTGGGGAGATAAAGTTTATTTTTCGGGATAAAGTTTATTCTTCGAGCACTTGTCGCGCTCTCAGATGCGGGCAGCTCAAATGGAACGAGCCGCCTCTTCCCCCTCCCCCCTCACAGCCCCCTCAGCGCCATGACACACCCCAACCCCTGGCAGTCGCCGCAGCGGGACTCCTCATTGGACAGCGGCGCTGTCAATCAAGCGACAGGAGGCGGGGCCAGCACAGCACGTCGTGAACAGCCGGAAAGGCCCCGCCCCCTCGGGTCGCCTGGCAACGGGAGGCGCTGTCGGCGGGACCGGGATCCAGACCGGGATCGGGACCGGGATCGGGATCGGGATCAGGATCGGGACTGGGACCAGGATCGGAACCGAGTGCGCTTCAGGGGTGGAGGCCGCCTGGACCCGGCATCCCCCAGTAACCGACTCCTGAGACACCCCGTCCCGCCCCCGGGATGCCCAGGGCCGCTGGTCCCACGGACACCCCGGTTCCTCCCGCACCGGCCCCTCGCCGCCCGCCCTTCGCACGGGGGTGTCCCCACCGGGAATCACCGCCCCGACCTCTGACTGTTCCCCGGTCTCTGGGTCCTCCTGCTGTCCCACACCCACACCGAGGGGACCCTGCACTCCCTGTCGGCCCCTCCGCTACAGCTGTCCCCATCTCCTCCCTCCCCTCTCTCCTCCTCTTGCCCTGTCCCTGCCAGATCCCCTCTCCTTCCTCCGCCCTCTGACAGGGACAGGCCTGGAAGGGCAGAGGTTTCCCATAGAGGTTTCCCACTAGGAACCCTCCCCTCCCCTCCAGGGTGGCCCCAGGGCTCTCCAGACCCTCTCCACACCCCTCTGGGGACAGCAGAGCTGCAGCTTGTGCTGCTCTACCTCAGCTGATTCTCAGAAGCTGTTGGGAGCTTTCCCCCCACCACCCTTCAAAGCCAGGAATCCATCGCCCCCTTCCCATGGGTGTTTGACAGCTGCTCTGGGACAGAGACCAGCTCTAATCCACAACCCCATGTCCTGACCCCCTGCCCAGACTCACAGAGAACTCCAGGGTAATCTCGGACTCTGTTTTCCCAAATTACATAGTTTCTCTAATGCTGTCACTGTGTTTTCCTTTTAGAGAGAAAATCCAAGAAGGGAGATTGCGTGACAGCAGCAGCACAGGGACCTCCATTTTCTTCCAGAGTCTCACCTTGTGTAAGAACTGCCGTGTCCTTGCTAGACCTCAAACCACCCAGGCCAGTGGTGTTTCAGTGAATCCATGGCAACAGAGGATCCAGCTGCATTCCAAGCATCCTCACGAAGCAAAGAACCTTGGTGAAGGCCATGGCAACTCCAAGGAAGGCAGGGATCCCCTTAGGTGTCATGAAGGTGTTAGATCCACGCCAGCTGAAGCCTGACAGCACAGAGGCAGAAAGAATCATGACTGTCTTGGATGAGACCATTGTCAAGCTGGAGATCACCAGGCTGATCCCACGGATTACTGGCTCCCTGGACAGGTATGCTGGGATGCTGGGACCTGAGATCACAAGCAGCCTTTTGGAGCTTCAGAAGCTTTCAATGGAAATACAGCAGCTGCACACCAGCGCTGGAGATGCAAAGACCATCAGAGCTGCAGAGAAACACTTGAAAAGTTCCCTGAGAAACATCCTGAGGCTCTTCCTGGTCAACCCCTTGCTTTACCATGGGCTGAAATTCGAAGTTCGGGTGAGAGAGTCACCAGCTGATGCTTTCATCAAAGCCTTCATGGAGTTCCGAGACTCCATGCTCGAGAGGCTCCTGACCACTCCTGATGAGGAGAGGGAAATGATTCAATTCATGAAAGACATTTCCCTCCAGGTTGAGAAGAACACAGAAGTGATCTCAGCTCTACAGGCACAGCTTGAAGGACTCATCCAGGCTCGAGATGAAGAGGTATGACCTTGTGGGAATGTGTTTTCCAACCAAGTGGAAAGTTGCTTTTTATTGGAGCAAAACCTTGTTAACTATAAACCAATCCCTTTATTGCAGTTCCTAAAGAGCAAGTTCCAGAAATCCTTTCTAAACCAGATCTAAAACTTAAGAATAATATTTTTATTGTAAAATATAATGAAAAAATGCATCTTGCATGCTTGATTTTTTTTTTTAACTCAAATTTGGCATGTTTTGAACCTGTTGTCACCAGCCAACTTGAACAATATAAGTCCCTGAGTTCCAGAGGAGTGGCAGGACAGGCACAAGCTGCTGTGGTGGTATCCTGGCAGGGTGACAATGCCAGCTGCTTCATTCCCTGCTGCTGAAAGAATGAAAAATCATTACAGGGAGAGATTGCTCTGATTAAAATCCATTTTTAATATTTGCTCTGTCTTCACTCTTGCTTAAAACCAAAATTTCTGTGACTCCCAACTCTAACAGCTGCTTTGGAGCCTTTGTGATTAATCAGTGATTATACAAATTACATGAATCTTTAATTTTATCTGCAGCTGAGGTGCAGATAATTGACTGGGCACTTCCCAGGCACTTTCCCAGCCTGTGTAGCAAGCCCAGAGCTTCTGACAACAATCCTTTGTTTTCCACCTGGGTTTCTCCTTCTCCTCCCTGCAAGAGGGGTCGGCTGAGAAGGTTTTGCCCTGCTCACTGGTGGCAGAGCCAGCTTTCCCCTTTCCCTCTGCTCCTTGGAGTTCTGGGAATTGAGATTTTTATGTGCCATTTGGCAGCTTGTCCAGGACATGGGGAATAAATCTGTTTCACTGATCCCAGCTGGGGATTTCCCTCCCTGAGCTTGTCCCCCAGACAGTCACTCAGAGCCTGATCCAGCCCTTGAGGGAGCCACAGGGCCACTCCAGGGAATCTGTTTTGGCTGCTCCTCAGGTGGCAGTGCCAGTGGGGCTTGGGATGGTTTGTTCACTCTGTGCCTTTACTAACAGGTTCCCAGAGGAGCCAGGGGAAGGTTTCCAAAGCTCCTGTGTAAATCTGACTCTTCCCTCAGCCAGCAGTGGCAGGGCCTTGGTGCTACCTGAGCTGGCCCCTGGGGGTCCCTTCTTGGATCTCCTCCAGCTTTGCAATGTTTTTTTCTTCTCCTGCTCACCTTATCCTCAGGGGCATTTCCAAAAGGAATTCTTCTTTTTTTCTGGTCTAGGTTAGCAAGAAGGACAAAGAAATCGAAAACCTCAAAACCACCATGGAAGATCTGGCCAAGAACTGCAGGACTGAAATCCGGCTGCTCATGAAGGAAGGGGGAAAGCAGAAAAAGGGGGATGAGGAAGCCTCCCAGGAGAGGTGTGCCAGGCTGAAGGAGGACATTCAGCGCCTGGGAACACAGTTCAGTGCACTGGTGCTGGAGCATCGAGCCTCAGAGCTGGTTCTCAGGAAGGTAAAGGGGAGGAGAGCCCTGGGACAGGAGGTTGAAGCCTTTTTGCAGAGCTGTCAGCTCTGGCTGCTGCCTGCTGCAAGGAGTTGCCTGGTCCCTGCTTGTTCCTGGCAGGATGCACATGGTGTTTGTCACAGCACACCCGCCCTGTCCTCATGCTCTGCTGATTCCAGTGCAAAGCAGCCCTGCAGCGACAGCAGGGACAGAGCTGTCACAGGTCCTGCTCCTGCTGCCTGGGAACACCTTCCCACTGTGCTGTCACACCAGGCAGGGCTCAGGGCAGCCAGCAGGAGCAGGACACGTGTGGGATAGTGACAAACCAGGGGTCTGCTGTAGGGGGAGCAGAGCAAACAATATTGGCTTGGTAGAAGGCATCTTTTAGAGCTGATTTATTGTCCAGGGTGGAATGGAGCTGATGCTGAGGGCTCAGCAGGTCCTGCTCTGCCCAGCTTGGCAGAACAGACAAGCCAAGGAGTCAGGCTGGGCTGAATGGGGGGAAATGTAACTTCAAAGAATCATTCCAGAATAGATTGGGTGGGAAGGGACCTTAAAGCCCATCCAGTGCCACCCCCTGCTATGGCAGGGACACCTCCCACTGTCCCAGGCTGCTCCCAGCCCCAATGTCCAGCCTGGCCCTGGGCACTGCCAGGGATCCAGGGGCAGCCCCAGCTGCTCTGGGCACCCTGTGCCAGGGCCTGCCCACCCTGCCAGGGAACAATTCCCAATTCCCAATATCCCATCCAGCCCTGCCCTCTGGCAGTGGGAGCCATTCCCTGTGTCCTGTCCCTCCATCCCTTGTCCCCAGTCCCTCTCCAGCTCTCCTGGAGCCCCTTCAGGCCCTGCAAGGGGCTCTGAGCTCTCCCTGGAGCCTTCTTCTCTCCAGGTCAGCACCCCCAGCTCTCCCAGCCTGGCTCCAGCCCTTGCAGCATCTCTGGTGCCTCCTCTGGGCTCTCCCCAGCAGCTCCAGGTCCCTCCTGTGCTGGGCCCAGGGCTGGGGCAGCTCTGCAGGTGGGGCAGAGGAGCAGAATCCCCCCCGCCCTGCTGCCCACGCTGGGGGCTCAGCCCAGGGCTGAGGGGGTGTCAGGGTTTCAGGGCAGATGCAGCCCTCACCCAGCAGCACCCCAAAGTCCCTGTCCCCAGGGCTGAGCAGATTCAGGAGGAGGAATGGGAGCAGCAGGCAGGCTCAGGCCCCTGCAGCAACAGCTCTGCCCTGAGCAGAACACACTGGTGACACAGAGAACTGAGAACTGGAAAAAGGGCATTTTCCTTCTCACTTTGCTCATCCTGAGTGTTCTCTTCAAAGCAGTGCAGCCTCCCATGGGCAGAAAGCCCACATGGTGGTGGGGCATCTGTCACTCTTGCATTGGGTGGTGCAGCATGAAGGGCTGGGCACTGAGAAAACATCAGACCCAAGTCAGAGCTGCAGTACAGGCCCCAAAATCTTTGGCAGAGGGGCTGTGCCAGGCAGTTCCTGCTGCAGTTCCTGCCACAGCAGGGCTGCTTTGGAGAGCTCAGCTCATTCCAGCACCCCAGCAGATGCATTTACTGACCACAGAAGCCTCCTTTCCTCAGCAAGTACAAGTTGTGCTTGTGGTCTAAATAGCTCAGGTGGGAGCTCGTGATGGCCTGGGAGCCCTTGGGCCATGCTGGGGTTGTGCCACACAGGAAATGGAGCAGGAATGATTCCACAGAGCACACATCCAGAGCTGGAGGGAACCTGCCCCAGGCTGTACAGGAGTACAGCCATTGTTAAACTGTTGTACAGCCAGAAAGAGCTTTCTTTTAAAAGGCACCACCATCTTCTGAGTACTTTCTGTCCCAAATTCAGGTTTTGCAGTTCTCTCCTGCTTCAGTTTTAAGCTGGTTGCCTCAGTTTGTCGATGACTTGCCACATTCCATCAGACACGTTCATTTCCTCCTGCAGAAAGCAACTTCCAGGTGCTGCTCATCCCCCCAGCTCCATGCTGTAAACCACATAAAGCCCTCTGGGAATGTCCCAGGAGAATCCTTAAACCAGGGCAAACCACATATGTGTCAGCTGAGGGAAGCTTGTCACAGGGAGGAGGTGAAATATCCAGATATATAATGATGCTGTGGCTCAAATACTTAGATATAATGATGATGTGGCTTAAAGTTTCCCTGTTTTCTCACTCAGGACACTTCTTCCCAGGCCTCAGATGTCTTCAAGGATCTGATCTTGTTTTGTTTTTCAGGAAAAGTGCAAAACAGAGAGGGAAATTCAGGAATGGGTCCAGAAATACGACACAGACATGACAGAAAAACAGGTGTTGGCTTTAAGTGCTTTGCTCTGCCATAAAGTGATTTGCTTTGGTAAATTCCTGTCCAAAGGGACACATGGCTCTTACCCAGGAGACCATGGAAGTGAGAGGCAGTCCTGCATCCAGGCAAACCTACAGGAAAGGGATCTTTGTCCTGCCTGTGTGTCCAGGAGTCCTCTGCTGCTCTGGCTTTAGGAAATGTTACATCCACTCAATCCCACAGTAAATCCCACAGTATCTGTGGGATAAATCTGTGCTAAATCCCACAGTATCTGGGGGCAAATGGGTCACCATGTTCTGTCTGGGATGTCCACCTGATGCCAGGAAACAGGTTTTTCAGTTTTGCACCAATCCTCAATCCTCATGGCCCTACCTGGTGTCCAAATTCTGCTCCTGTTCCTGCTGAATCCTTGGGGGATGTGCTGGGTGTTAAGAAACCCAACAGCCTGCCCACAACTGAGCCATAACAGGCTCAGGGTCACATCAGCACCCCCAAAACTTGCCTCTAGGAAGGCCCTGGGGGCTTTCCTGTTCTTGCAGTATTTATGGGATTGGATAAAAGCGGCTGGATTCCTTACAGAGCAAAATACAGGGAGGGGCCTGAAAGCTGTTGCTAATTGTAAGGAATGATCCCCTGTCAGATGTTTAATAATGGGATTATTTTGGTTTCCTGTCCCTGGAGAGGCAGGAGCCCCATGTTTGGGGCAGAATTTGTCAAGGCAGACCCACCCCCACACTGACAAAACATCAAACCCAAGTTAGAGCTGCAGTACAAGCCCCAAAATCTTTAGCAGAGAGGCTGTGCCAGGCAGTTCCTGCTATAGCAGGGCTGCTTTGGAGAGCTCAGCTCATTCCAGCACCCCGGCAGATGCACTGCTGGTTCTCCAAATCTTCCACTGTGTGTGGGAGCATTTTTCAGGGGAGCATCAAGGCACCCAGCACGTCATGAGACTCCCTGGGTATTGGGCACATCCCTCCTTTTGAATCCCTTTGGAAAGGCTCTGACCAGTTGAGGTTTCATGGCTTTGGGATGGGTTTCAGGACCCCCAGCTGGGGATGTGGGGAGAAGCTGCAGCCCAGCTGTCCCTGATCCCTGCTGTCCTGGCAGACCACATACGATGAACTCCAGATTGCCTACAACAAGGAGAAGGAGCAGTTGGCCGTGCTGATGGAGAAACACGCCCTGCTGATCCAGGAGTACACCCTGATCGAGGAGGAGCGCAGGATTCTCCAGGAGAAGGCAGAGGAGGCTGCACGGGAGGAGGCCAGGAGGAACCAAGCTGCCACCCGCATCCAGGCCTACTGGAAAGGCTACTTTGTGAGGTGCAAGTACAAGGCACTACGGAAGAAGGCAAAGGGCAAGGGCAAGGGCAAGAAATAAGGCCCCAAATCATTTTCTCTCCCTGCAAAGCTGCTGTGTCTGAGCTCTTCCAGATAAAAGCATTGAGAATTGTTAAGGTTGGAGAAGACTTTTAAGATCATCCAGTCAAGCCAGTACCACCATGTTCACCAGTAACCCTTGTTCTCAAAAATCACATCCATATGTTTTATGAACACTTCCAGGGATGGTGACTCTACCACTTCCCCTGGCAGTCTATCCCAGGGCCTCAGGACCCTTTCCACAAAAAAAAGTTCTGTTAATATTTAATATAAACATCCCCTGGCACAACTTGAGGCTATTTCCTCTCATGCTGTCATGTCCTACTTGTGTGGATTTGACAGCCCACTCCTGACTTTAGGGCCCTTCCTTGCAGCCTCCCTTCCCCGGAGAGAGCAGTGGCACTGGTGAGGCCTCTCTCTCCTCAGATATGGCCAAGGAAGGTGTGTTCCCTTCTTGGCAGCCACAAGAGATACTGGGATCCATGAGACTTTGAGAAGTTGGCAGCCATGTGGATAGTTTGGGATGTAATTACATCAAGAAAGACATTCCCTGTCCAGATAGACTTCAGTTCCCAAAAACCTACAGCCTCCAGGGAGAGCTTAAAGGCCCTTCCAGTGCCTAAAGGGGCTCCAGGAGAGTGGGAGAGGGACTTGGGACAGAGGGAATGGCTTCCCAGTGCCAGAGGGCAGGGATAGATATTGGGAAGGAGTTGTTCCCGGGGAGGGTGGACAGGCCCTGGCAGAGAGTGCCCAGAGCAGCTGGGGCTGCCCCTGGATCCCTGGCAGTGCCCAAGGCTAGGGTGGACACTGGGGCTGGGAGCAGCTTGGGACAGTGGAAGGTGTCCCTGCTCATGGCAGGTAGTGGAATTGGGATGAGTTTTAAGGTCCCTTCATGCTAACCCATTCCATGGCTGTCTGAAAAGCAGCCTTTGGAGCCCGAAGCCCTCTCAGGCTGTTGCAGACACAGGAGTGGCCCTACAGGCTGCCTCAGTGTCCCTGGTGCTCCTGCCTGAAGGACTCTCAGGGAGGAATGGCTCACCCAGCTGCAGAGGGGCCGGAGCTCAGCCCAGAGCAGCACATGGAGGGTCCCTCACCCTCGGAGCTGCCCAGCCTGGAGCCCAGTGCCCTCTGGAGAATTCCCGGGCTGGGGGAGCCTCCTGAGCACCTGGCACGGCTGTGACAGCGTGTGAAGGTGATGGCTGAGGATAATGGGATCAGGGGGATCAGAGAGGATCAGGGAGATGAGTGAGACGTGATCTATGATGGGGGGGAATGAAGAGGAGAAGATAAAGAGGAAGAAGGAAGGGGAAAGGAAAGAGAAAAGGGAATAGAGAACAAAGAAGGGGAAAAAAGGCTGGGAAGAGAAAGGGGGAAGGGAAGAATCCTCAGCAGACATGGGAACACCTGGCCGGGTGGTACTGCCACAGGCCTCCACACTGCCCTGTGGACAGGCACCTCCTCAGGCACAAAACCCAGGCCCGTGTGCTGATGGAGGGAGCGGGTGAGCGGGACACAAGGATGGGGCTTCTCCTCCCAGCAGGGCAGGCGGCACCCAGGAGGATTTTTTTACGGGAACATTTATACGGAACAGTTTCCACCATGCCCCCCGCCCCAGCCCCCTGGCATGAAATGGCGGCGGGGGGCCAAAATGGCGGGGGCGGTGTGAGGGCGGGCGCGGTGCGCGCCGTTCCCGCCCCGCCGCCGGGGGGCGCTCCCGCCCGCTCCCCTCCCCGTGGGGCGGTCACGTGGCGGCAGCGCCGCCCCCGCTCGGTGCGGACGGGCCGGGGCCGCCCCGGGAGCGGCGGAGCCTCGGCCGGGCCCCGCGGGGTCTATGGGGAAGGCGGCCGCGCTCTGCGGCGGCGGCACCCGCGGGCTGGTCTCGCTTCTCAGCGCCGTCCCCTGCCTGGCCTGCCACGAGCTGCCGGCAATGAGCGCCGAGCCGGGCGGCCGCGGCGGCGGGGGCCCGGCGGGGGGAGCGCCCGCCGCCCCCCCGGGCTCCGATACCTACAAGGGCTGGCTCTTCAAGTGGACCAACTACCTGAAGGGCTACCAGCGGCGCTGGTTCGTGCTCAGCAATGGGCTGCTCAGCTACTACAGGTACCGGGGCCGGGGGGCCGGGCAGGGGCCGCCGGGAGGGGGGATGGACCGCGGGGGCTGCGCTGTTGCACAGCGAAAATCGCCTCGTATTATTTAGTTTGGGCTTTTTTCCCTCTTTTAAAGCCAAACTCGGGTTTTGATCCTGCAGAGCCGCGGGGGACCAGCGGGGCCGCGGGATGATGGATCGCCCTGGATCTCCCATCCTTCTCTCTCTTTCCATCCCTCCGCTGCTGGTGCAGCAGTTCCGGCTGCTACAGCTGCCCAAATCACACCCTCCCATCCGAACACCCCAAACCCTCCTCCCTTAGCTGTGTAACCTGCTCCTGGTCCTGCTGTGCCCTGCCACAGCCTGCGGGTCCTCCCCCAGCGGTGCCCGCGGCTGCGGACGCTGCGGTGGCGGTGCAAGCGTGGCCTGGGATGCTGTGCTGGGAATGCCGGCCTTGGGAAGCAGCCCGGGCTGGGGCTGCGCTCCTGGGGGCTGAAGGAAGCTCCAGCAGCTGCTCCGAGCCGTGCCTGGCTCCCGGCGCTGTCTGACGGGCTGTGGGCTCGGCGAGGAGCGTGTCAGACACCCCGAGGCTCAATCCAAAGCGGTGTCATCTTGGTAGCGTCTCTTGTGCTGCTTGTCTCACTTGGGCGGTGAAAATACAAATGTGGATGTTGGTGTCGTTATCCTCCCTGTGTATGGTAGCAGGTGGAACGACAGGAGCTTTAAGGTCCCTTCCCACCCAGACCATTCAGGGATTCTGTGATTTGGATCATGTTTATCCTTCTCACTGGGAACACAAGTGCTCTGTCAGCCTTGGTGTTGTGCAGCAGATGTTGTCTGTACTTCAGGACATGGAAACAATCCTGAATATTAAAGATGGTTAAAAGCTTTATAAAATAGTATCTCTTTAAAGTGCCAAACCCCCTGAGACAGGAATTCTCTATAAAGGTTGTGCCAGAGCTGTTTTTCCTCCCGACATAAAGTTCATCAGCTGATTTCCTCCCAGCTCCAGCTGCTGACACGTAGCCTGAAGCAGATTGCAGAGCTCCAGCTCCCTGTCAGATGTGAATATAAACTCTTCCAGCTCTAAGAGACCCCTGGAACCTGGGTCCCAGGGCCAGACTAAAGCAGGTAACAGTGCAGAAGATAAATGATGTGGTTATCAACTTGGGGTTGTTGAAAACCCTCAAAGAACTTAAGCCAAACAACCTCCCCCCAAAAAATGTAATTACCTCTCAGTAATTCAGCTAATTTACTGTAATCCTTTCTGGAATGCCTTAACTCTGCTCAAAAAGGCTGTTGAAGTTTAACACTCCATTTGTAACCATGTCAGAATATTATTTTTGTGTGTTGATGCCGAGTCTGTCGTGAGTGAACAAGTGGTTTTCTTCAACAATTATTTTAGATGGGAACAACCAGGTTTATTTTGAGACCATTTGATCTGTTTTAGGCTGAAACAACAAACAGAAACACCCAAGGAAATTATTCTGAGCTGCATGTGAAGGAGTTGAAACTTTGTGAAGCTTTCAGGCAGGGCAGACCTTCAGCAGCTGCTTGGGGAAAAGGATGCTGGAGGATTTTGTGCTTCTTTTCATCTCTGGGCTTGATGACAACTGAATTAATTTGGTTGTGAGTCAGGAGTACAAAAATACAGCGCAGAACACGTGGTGAAGCCTTTCCTAAGTGGAGAAAAGCCTCCATGATACTCTTCAAACCCAGCACTCTGCAATAGTGCCTGTGTCAGCTTGAATTGCTCATCTGGGAGCGCTCCTGGGAGACAGTCTGGGGTAAAACCTGGCACTTCTGTTTTGATAGGAATTCTAGCTCCATGACAGGAGCCAGGCAGGTGTCAGGCTGCTGCCTGTTCGCTGAGAAAGAGCATCTATCTATATTTGTCTATCTGTAAATGTTCTATAGAGGTCCCTGGCATTCTGAGAGTCACGGGTCCTGCTTTCTGCTGGCTCTCTGTGCTCAGCCCAGCTCAGCAGGTCCCACAGCAGAAGTCTCCTTTCCTGCCCTTGCAGGTGAATTGCTGTGCTCTTCTCGTGTTGTCACCTTGGTAGTTGCACCTGATTTAGCTGGGGCTGCTCAGGAGGAGCTTTGTAGAAACTTCATTTTGCTAAAATCATCTAAACTGGGAAGGCTGCCCCGTGCTGCCCAGGCTGCCTCCTTGAGTGGATTGATTTCGTTCCAGGTGGAAGCTTTTTGTTGCATTTGGATTTCCTGCCTGTCGCTGTTCAGCTTTAAACCCCAGCCTGTCACGTTGCCTGGAGGGTTTTGGTGTGCAGAGCTGAGCTGCTGAAATCCCGGGTGTCCCCTTGGTGTCCCTGGGGGTGCTGCTGTGTGGGTGGCTGCTGTGCCATCCTCTGGAGCTGTTCTCACTGAGGGGTTTGCTCCAGCAGCCAAGTGCGGCGCCTGTTTGCTGCCCAGTTGGTTTCACAGGGACAGTTTGCTGAGTTAAAGCTTCTAATTACAACATTTTCCCCAAATGGAGCGTTTAAAGCCTCCTGTAGCTTTGCTACGTCGATGAAGACATCAAGCCTTGCTGCCAGGGAAACTTCATGTGCCTTTGCTTTGTATTCCCTCCTCTGAACCTGTGAAAAACAACAACTGCTGAGGAATTCTTGAGGAGTTCCTGTGCAGTACCCTCCTCTGGAGGGAGGTGTGTGGGTTTAGGAAGTCCCTAAATCCACAGCAATATGGTTGGACCATTTTACATGCCCTTGATGGGTCCTCCTGGGTTGTTTTTGACCAAGTGTTTTGGCTGATTCAGTGATGCTGGTGTGGGAAGGCAGTTTGGGGATGCAGGACTAGTCTGCTTGACTTGCTAATGATCCAAACTCTCTGAACTCCTCTTGCTGCCACTCAGATTTATCATTACCTATAATTAGCGGCTCTGTATGGGAGAATCTAATCACCTTGAACAGATAAGTGTTTTCAAGGAGATTACAGAGGATCTGCAGGTGAGTATTAATTCATCAAAGACTGGCGTTGGCTCATGTGACCATGGATGCTCCAAGTGTTGTGTTCCCCCAGCAGCTCCTTGACCTTTTTGAGAGCTCTGGGATGTGTTGGCTCCTCTGTGGGATGGGCTGGAGCTGGGCTCCTGTGGGTTGGGTGTCTGGAGAACCTTCAGCAGTGCTTGGTGTGGGCACGGGGTGTAATGATGAAAGCAGTGACAAATGGAGAGGGGAAAATCGTGTTATTGCTGGGAAGGGAAAGGCTTCTCCATCAAGCAGCATTAACTCCCCTTTCTGAGCAGTGATGGGTGCCTGGGGCACTTTAGCTGTCTTGTCTGGGTCATCCTGCAGCTCATTTCCCTGGAAAAGCTGTGTTTCACAGAGCAGCATTCTTCACCAGCTCTGTTTATGCAGCACTTAACTCTTGGTTGGCATCAGGAGGGCTTGAGCACAGCCCAGAGATGTTTTTTGTGCTGAGACTCCACTGAAAGCTGAGGAGGGGATTTGGGGAAGGAGTTTGAGAACCACTGCTGATGGTAGAGATGTGGGGGGTTGAGGGAGCCCAGGAGAGACCTTGGGAGCCCCCAGCACTGTCAAGGCCACTGCTGACCCATGTCCCCAAGTGCCACATCCACGTGGCTTTTAAGTCACTCCAGGGATGAGGACTCCAGCACTGCCCTGGGCAGCTGTGCCACCCTGACCACCCTTTCCATAAAGAAATCTTCCCAGTATCCCACCTAAACCTCCCCTGGCCCAGCCTGAGGCCGCTCCCTCTGCTCCTGTCCCTGTTCCCTGGAGCACAGCCCGACCCCCCCGGCTGTCCCCTCCTGTCAGGAGCTGTGCAGAGCCACAAGGTTGAGCCCCTCCAGCTCCCTCAGCCGTCCCTCATCACACTTGTGCTCCAGCCTCTGAGATCTCCAAGGTGTGAGTTTACAGAGCCTCTCCAGGCCCCTCTTCCAGTGTGGGACCACCCTTGGAGGGGAAAACTTTTCCTTACATTTAGCTTGTACCTGATAGAATGAGGCAGCAGGCTCTCCTGGAAGGATTTTTGTGACACCCTGTCCCTGTGCAGACAATCCTGGAGTGTTTGTGTCTCTCTGGGTGCTGGAGCGTGCAGGTTTCCAAGGCAGCTCTGCAGCTCCTGGTGACTTTGAGCTACTTGTTTTTAAACAGTGATGAATAATTGGTGTTCCCAGTCAGCTTGTTTTCCCATGGCACTCTCTGCATCCATATGGTGCTTTGCTGTTGTTCCTTGCTATTTGCCCATTCTGGAGCAGCTCCTTGCTGTGCTTTGTCCCTGGGGACACGGTGCTGCCACAGCTCCCTGGGGACACTGCATGGCCACAGGGCACTTGGGGGTGCCATGGGGTAGGGGGAACGATGCTCTTGGTGCTGCTGGTTCCAGGCTGGGTTGCTCTGCTCCCAGTTAGTGCTGTGGGGGAGGTTGGGCTCACTTCAGTCCAAACAGCAACTGCAGCTGACTCTGCAGGAGGGTGTGAGACAGGGATCTTCTCCTTAGGGATGTTTCCATCATGGCTTGGTAATTAGTGCTGGCTGAGGGGGTTTACAGCTGTTGTCTGGTTCTGTTTGCTGGTTGCAAACTGTGATAAGAGCAGTGAACCATCCTTCTCCTTTATTTCTATGCATATAATCTTCATTTGGCTAGATGGGATGGATGTCATCCCTCATCCCATATCCCTGCAGGTGTTCCAGGCCAAGCTGGGCAGGGCTTGGAGCAGCCTGGTCTTGTGGATGGTGTCCCTGCCCATGGCAGGGGAGTGGAACCTTTAAGGTCCCTTCCCACCCAAACCATTCCATGATTCTACATTGGCCAATTACTTAATTTGATGTAATCAGAGCACTCTGGGTTTGTGTGGAGGTACAACAGCCTGTGCTGCTGTCTCCATGTTGGGCACGAGGGGATCCCTCAGGTAGCTTGGCTCCCACGGCAGTTTTCACTCCTGGAGCTGTTGGCAGGTGTGGAGGGTGTTTGTGGGCTCAGCTGCCTGGCTCCTTACCTGAGTGAGGTGCCTGTTCCCCCTTTCTGCTGTGCGCTGGTCCAGGTTCCTCTGCTGGAGCACACCCTGTGCAGTTCTGCTGTGCTGTCCCAGGCAAGGGCAGGGGGTCACTGTCCAGCCCTGCACTCTCCCCCACGGTGCTGCAGCTCCCTCAGCTCTGCTGGAGCGGGACAGCAGGGGCTGTGCTGGCCTTTAGGAGCAGAGGGTGGTGTGGACTGGCTCCTGCTCCAGGACATCCCTGGCTGTGCTCAGCCCTTGGTCATGTTGCCCCAGGAGCAGGCCGGCTGTCCTTTGCCTGCAGAGGTGACTGGCATCACCTGCCTCTTCCTGCAGCTTCCCTGCTTGTCTTTTTCCTGGAAAATAAGCATTCAGCTCTGACTTGGCTTGCTCCAATTACAGGTTTAAGTTGGTGCTTGTATGGCCTGTCATCCTCTGTACCCACAGTGAGTCACTGGGGAAGGAGCTGATCCTTCTTGTCAGGAGTATTGTGAGGAACCTGCTGTGCTTTTCCATGCAGTATCCCTTGTATCCTGCCTCATTTTCCCCTGAAAAGGAGTTTCCAATCAGTGCAGTGTGCTCTGAGCTCACCTCTGAATGACCATGATGTTCACTATCTGTAGGTTGAGTTATGCTGCAGCAGGTCAGACTCCTGAGCTTCTCTGTATTTTGTGCTTGTGTATCAAATGTTGTAGCTGGGTAACTCAGCCTGGTAATGTTATATGCCTGAAGTGTTATCAGTGATATCAGAGCCCTCTGCTCCCTGCAGGTCTGTTCAGCTGATGGCCAACAGCTCAGGTTGTCACCCTGAAATGTGAGCTGTCCCAGCCTGCTATCAGGAGGGCAGGCAGCATCCTGGAGATTTACCCCTAAATAAGATCGTGCTTCCAAACCTGAGCTGGCTGGAGGTGTTAAATATCCCTTCAGGTCCTCATTATACTGTTCAATTACTGTAGCAATTCCTACAGCACCGTGGCAGGGATCTTTCTACACTTTGCATCAGCCTTTGTTTGGTTTCACTCAAAAAGCTTGTTTAATAATTAATGCCACAACACTGCGTGTCTGAGGGCTGGGGCTGGGCTGGAGCAGAGCAGGGCTGGATGTGAGTGTGGTGCTGGGCAGGGCAGTGGTGCTGGGCAGTGGTGCTGACTCACAGCCCTGAGTGTGAGTGTGAGTGCAGGGCTGGATGTGAGTGTGGGGCTGACTCACAGCCCTGAGTGTGAGTGTGAGTGCAGGGCTGGATGTGAGTGTGGGGCTGACTCACAGCCCTGAGTGTGAGTGCAGGGCTGGATGTGAGTGTGGGGCTGACTCACAGCCCTGAGTGTGAGTGTGAGTGCAGGGCTGGATGTGAGTGTGGGGCTGACTCACAGCCCTGAGTGTGAGTGCAGGGCTGGATGTGAGTGTGGGGCTGACTCACAGCCCTGAGTGTGAGTGTGAGTGCAGGGCTGGATGTGAGTGTGGGGCTGACTCACAGCCCTGAGTGTGAGTGTGAGTGCAGGGCTGGATGTGAGTGTGGGGCTGACTCACAGCCCTGAGTGTGAGTGCAGGGCTGGATGTGAGTGTGGGGCTGACTCACAGCCCTGAGTGTGAGTGCAGGGCTGGATGTGAGTGTGGGGCTGACTCACAGCCCTGAGTGTGAGTGCAGGGCTGGATGTGAGTGTGGGGCTGACTCACAGCCCTGAGTGTGAGTGCAGGGCTGGATGTGAGTGTGGGGCTGACTCACAGCCCTGAGTGTGAGTGCAGGGCTGGATGTGAGTGTGGGGCTGACTCACAGCCCTGAGTGTGAGTGCAGGGCTGGTGCTGAGCCCGGGCTGTGAAGGATCAACGCTGCATTAACCATGCAGATGGGAGCGTGGGACTGCGTGTCAGTGCAGCTCTGCCGTGGAAGCAGAACAAATGGGAGCAAATCTTCTCTTTGGTTCCCTTCCAGGCACTTGGGATTCGCTTCCCCCTCTGCAAGCCAGGGCTGCTGGCAGGGCTGGTTTGTACCTGTGCTGTCCCCAGGTGATGCTGTGAGCATCGCTGTGGGCTGGAGCTGCTCACGGGTCACATTGTGACGCTGATGGAGCTGCTGCTGTGTCAGCATTGGTGACGGTGCCCGAACCCTTTGTCACCTCTGTGTTCCCTGCCCTTCCTTTCACACCAAGCTGTGTTAGTATCCACTTTCCTTGCTTTTTTTTATTTTTATCTAACTCTTCAAGGCTATTTCTGCTTTGAATCACGACTGGATAGATGTATGTCCCTGCAGTGACTCAGGGGGAGGTGCTTCACTCCCTAAAAATAGTCCTAATCCTCCAAATCTTTCTGGATGAGAGCACTGGCTGGGCACGCGTGGCTGTTTAAAGCAGCTTCTGCAATGCATGTGGGGGTAAATATGGTGGAGTGGGAGTCAGTGCCTTTCTCTTTTCCTTCCTCAACACAAAGCAGTGATTCTTAATCTGTTGTTAATAGCTAGAGCAGGTTTCTTCTAGGAACTTTATGAGAAACAGAGCAGGAAAACGTCCTTGGGGCCTACTGGTTGTGTATTGCTGTAATGAGCAAGATGTTCTCACTTCAGGCTGGTTGTTTGGCACACACACCTTAACACTGTGGCTGGATGGGCTCTCAGAAACAGTGAACTCTGCTTGCCATGGCACAGCCATGGATGTGGCAGCAGGGCTGGGAAGCCTGGATGGGAGCAAAGCTCCTTTGGGGAGCCACGTGGCCTCCTGGTGCTGGTGCTGTTGAGGTCCATGGTTGGTTTCCTCAGGGATGCTCCCAGGGACGTGGGGCTGTGTGTGCTGTGTTCCAGCCTCGCCGTGTTGCTGTTTGTTCCCAGCTGACTCGGTGCTTTGTGCTGTCACTCACCCCAGCACAGAATTAGAGTATTTGTCACAGCAGCAAATATCCATGGCAACTAATTCCTAGCTCTGGAAATCTTCATGATTTTTGAAGTTTCTTTTTTTTCCTGTGAAATGCACAGGGGTGGTTCCACCAACTTTTTTTTTCAGGTCTTCTGCAACTGTCAGGAGTGGTGGCTCTTCTTGGAAGCGCTTGAAAAATACACCGGTGCCAGTTCGGAAGATGGGGTGAGTTTGGGTGGATTTGGTGCAGCATGGACATGGATAACTGGGGTGTGCTCGTGGCTGTGGGACACAGACATGCCCCTCCTCTCCAGGACTGTGCAGGGGTGGAGACCATAAGAATAAAGAAGCAGATTTTTGTCTTTGAGGTGTGGAGATGTGCAGCAGGTGGGGGTGGCAGCTGTGCCCACAGCTTGTGAGGAGTCAATGAAGGTGTGTCTGGGGAATTTTAGGTTGGATTTTAGGGCAAGGTTCTCCCCCAGAGGGTGCTGGCACTGCCCAGGCTCCCCAGGTTGGATGTTATCTTTCATGGAGAGAGTGATAAAGTTCTGGAATGGCTGCCCAGGCAGGTGGTGGAGTCCCCATCCCTGGGTGTGTTTAACAAAGCCTGGATGTGGCACTGGGTGCCAGGGTTGAGTTGAGGTGTTGGGGCTGGGTTGGACTCGATGACCTTGAAGGTCTCTTCCAACCTGCTCATTCTGTGAATCTGTGAATTCTGTGAGGCAGCTGCAGGAGTGAAACTCCTCTTTGAGGGGCTGCTGTCCTGTGAGGGAGTGGGAGTGCCATGTGAAAGGGATGGAGTTCTTCCTTGGCTCGTGCCCTGGGGGGTGGCCAGGCACTGCCCAGGGAATGGGCACGGCCCCGAGGCTGCCAGAGCTCCAGGAGCCTTTGGGCAGCACTGCCAGGGATGGACAGGGTGGGATTTGGGGTGTCTGGGCAGAGCCAGAAGTTAGACTGGATGATCCCTGTGGGTCCCTTCCAGCTCAGAAGATTCCATGATTCTGTGTTAAGTTTCAGCCTTTGGTCTGAAGCCTTTTTGGAGGAGTTCAGGAACTCTTGGGTGGTGCCTGGTGTCAGGGCTGTGTTCTCCAGCAGCCCCATCCTTTGTTCTTGGATGACTTGAGACCTTCCATCATTTCCGTTTCCAAGCATGCCCGTTCCTGTGACTGATGCTGGGTGCTGTTTATTATTCCCAAGTTGCCACTGTGGTGTTTCCCAGCAGGGTTTGTGGAGCAGAAGGCACTGCAGGTTTATAGTGTGTGGTGAGGTGGAACTGCTCTATGGCTTTATTTTATCCCAGCAGAGTTTTCCATTCCTGGTCTGTGCTGGGGAGAGTCTGCTTGAGGCTCCCTGGCTTTGCTTCTCTGCTGGGGTGGAACTTTTATAACCAGGAGGAAGAGAGTGCTCAAACTAAAAGTCATTTTGTGATGGTACAAGGGTGACAATCATCTTAGTACTGCATAATTTACATGTGGCACACAGGACACACTGTCAGCTCCCACTTGGAATTGTCCACGGCATGCAGGGTGTGATGGTGTTCACAGAGGTCCGAGGATGAGGGAAGAGACAAGGGTCCTGACTCCATGTTTCAGAAGGCTGATTTATTATTTTATTATATATATTACATTAAAACTATACTAAAAGAATAGAAGAAAAAGTTTCATCTCAGAAGGCTGGCTAAGCTAAGAATAGAGAAGAAAGAATGATAACAAAGGCAGCTGCCTCAGACTCTCTGTCCAAGCCAGCTGACTGTGATTGGTCATTAATTACAAACAAGCACATGAGACCAATCACAGATGCACCTGTTGCATTCCACAGCAGCAGATAACCATTGTTTACATTTTGTTCCTGAGGCCTTTCAGCTTCTCAGGAGGAAAAAATCTTAAGGAAAGGATTTTCATAAAAAGATGTCTGTGACAGCAGGGCTCCCTTTGGGAGCTGGGGTGGTGGTGGTGCTCTGATTAGCTGTCTCCTCTCAGGCATTGATTAGGAGTTATAATTTGATTGGTTTTGGTGGCTGTGATGGGATCACAGTTCATTAGTTGCAGTATTTGCTGTGTAATGTGGTTATTAACGGGTGAGTGCCCTCACAGCCCAGCTCTGGGTGGTGCCAAGTGGAGCAGAGAGGTCACAGGTCTGGAGTTCAGAGGGACTGTGACACCCTGGAGCTGCGGGGTGATGGCAACCCTGGGATGCTCAGCAGAGCCATTGCTGCTGGAAGCAGCTTTGCAGAGGAGCCCTGGGGACAAAAAGGTGACCAGGAGTGAGCAGAGGTCAGCGGTGGCTTTGGCTGTGTTAGCAGAAGTGTTGAGGGAAGGGACTGTCCCCTCTGCTCAGCCCTGGGGTGCCCTGTCTGGGCCATCAGTGTGGTTGGAGCAGAGGAGACCCCACAGCTCCATGGTGGAGGGTGTGAGAGGGGACAGAGCCTGGCTCTGCTCGTGGCAGGGTGAGGCACAGGGCTGGGAGAGCACTGGGAGATCCTGCATGGACACATGGGAGCATCTTGGCTTGGGAGTGAGGGCTGAACACTGGGACAGGGATCTGGAGAGGTGCAGGGAGTTCATGGCTGTTCCAGCTGTGGCTGGGCAGGGTTCTGAGCAGCCTTGTCTGGAGGCAGATGCTCAGAACAGGACACTGCACCTGAGGTACCTCCCAGACACAGCTCATGAACCATTCTATGGTTATTTGTGACACTTTTTGCCTTCAGCTCTCTGGATGCTGATGGGGGATGAGGAAAAGCCTTGTCCTGTCTATGGCTTGTCCTGTCACTGCCAGGGGAGCCCTGGTGATTTCTGTGTCTGAGCCCTTCAGGCTGATTCAGACCATCCTGCACTTCCATGGCACTCTGAATGGGTGGAGGAGCTGCCTGACCCTGGGACAGCCTGAGGATTGGCAAACCAAATTTATGGGATTATCTGTGCTTTACTCCTCTATCAGGCTTTTATCTGTTAAAGCTCATTACAAGTACAGTGTTTTGCTGCAGCACTTGGGGAGGCAAAGACCCAGTGGTGTTGCTGATCCTTTTAGGGATTGCCTTAGGAGCTGATGGACAAGAATTTTCCTATTTTTTTGTCTGTGCAGTCCCTGGGATGTCCCAGCTGGGTGCTGCCTGGGAACTGTTTTCCCAGGAACCTGCATTTTTTGGTGGATAAACATTGAGTGTGCACTGGGTGAGGCATTTGCCTCTCCCTCTCTGACCCCTTTCTTTTCACTACCAGGAAAGAAATAAAAATTTCTGCTTCAAAGTGGAAAAACCTATGCATGCAAGCTCCTTGGAAATGCAGTTTTGAATTTGAAAGTTGACTTGTAGAGGTGTGGAAATTTGTGCTTTGTTGGTCTGTAACAGGCCCCCTTACAGCTGCAGACATCCAGCCTGGAATTGTCATTTGTAAGTGCCTTGAGAGGCTGCAGCTGTGTGTCTCAGCACAGATAAGGTCTGTAATTACTGGATTGGATTGAATTCTGCTGCACAGCTGCAGCCCTGAGGTGCCTTTGCAGTGCAGGAATGAAACCTCTGGCTGCCCATAGCTGACATTCCCCATTTTTGGAATATTGTGGCTTAATTTAAGCACAGAGCCCACACTGTGAGAACGGGATCGGTCCCATCAGGATTTGTACAATTGATTTCCAAGTGCTCAACACCTGAACAGGCTCAGTGGTTGTGAGAGTCACGTTCTGCAGGCAGTGGAGGCTGAGAGCTTTGCTGAGGAATCCCTGTGGATGCTGCAGGCAGGCAGTGATGCTTTGGAGGAAGCTCTGGGATCGTGGTGAGGAGCTGCTGTGGTGCCAAGCTGGGGTGTCACAGGGTCAGGCTGGGGGGGAACAAAATCTTCAATCATAGAACCATGGCATGGGCTGGGTGGGAAAGGACCTTAAAACTCATCCAGTGCCACCCCTGCCATGGCAGGGACACCTCCCACTGTCCCAGGCTGCTCCAGCCCCAGTGTCCAGCCTGGCCTTGGGCACTGCCAGGGATCCAGGGGCAGCCACAGCTGCTCTGGGCACCCTGTGCCAGGGCCTGCCCACCCTGCCAGGGAACAATTCCCAATTCCCAATATCCCATCCATCCCTGCCCTCTGGCAGTGGGAGCCATTCCCTGTGTCCTGTCCCTCCATCCCTTGTCCCCAGTCCCTCTGCAGCTCTCCTGGAGCCCCTTCAGGCCCTGCAAGGGGCTCTGAGCTCTCCCTGGAGCCTTCTCCTCTCCAGGCTGAGCAATCCTAAATCTTTCAGCCATAATGTAGTGAGGTTAATGTTGGCACTTTGGTCCAACGTGTTTCCCTGAAGATTTACAATTTCTATAGTTTTAGGAAGGACAAATTTGTAAAGTAGCTAAAACACCAATATTAAGTAAGACATTACCCTGAAGTGAGGCATCCTCATGGGTACAGAGGGAATTAGAGTTTTCTGTTTGTAAAGGAAATAAATACTGAGCCCTTTGTCCCACGGGGCAGGTAACAAACTCCACTATTAGCATCAGTGTAGCTTTAATTTCCAAGTTGAAAATAAAACATTGCCATTCTACCATATAATAGACCATTATGCCATTAGGTGTAGTCTTAATTTACAAAATGGTTTATTTATAGAACTGCTGATGTAAACCCAACAGAGGCACTTGGGATGTGCCTGTGTGGCATTAGAGCAGTCCTGTGCTGGTGGCACTTTGTGGGGACACATCCTGCTGCTGCCCCTTTATCCCTTCACAGACCTCATGGCAGTGTTTGTGCTGTGCCAGGTCTCTATAAAAAGAATCTGCTCCCCTGTGCGAGTGTTGGAGTCAGAACAGCTCAGCTTGAGTGGGCCTGGGTGTGATGTGATCCTGCTCCCTCACTTGGGAAAAGGGCATTGTGCTGCTTTTCACTGCTCTGTGCTCCTTCACATCACAGAGTCGTGGAATATCCTGACTTGGAAGGGACCCACAAGGATCATTCAAATACAGCTCCTGGAATATGTTCCTATGGGAGAATATCCTTCTGTGGCCTGGCTTCTGTCCCCTCTTACATCATTTTTTTAAATCTCTGATAACATAAAAATAGATACAAAGTTGAAGGTTTAAACTTGCTTTTCTTCCTGCAGAAGATTAAATAAATAAAATTAGGTGGAGAAGGTAAAAAGAGAGTTTTCAATGTTTGGTGGGTCCTGGGAAGAGAGGAGGAGGATGGTCAGAGCTTTATTTGTCCCCTGCATTGAGTCCTGCTGGGGAAACCAGCTGAGCACTGGGCTCTGTT